TTTTTATTATTTATTTATGTTTGCCTACATTTGTCTTTGTCAGCCGAGAATTTTCTTACAAGTCAATACCAATCCTACTACATCATGATATGAACTTTCGTGGAAAACCGGCACTCTGTCATCCAATTTGCCTATAGCGTGTACTAGGCTTTAGACAAGCTGCAAGGGGTTCAAACATTTCACATCATCACAGTATTAGAGAGAGGATATAACCCGAAAATAAATTAAGTAAAATAACCACAATGATCTTTCAGTTTTTGGTAGACAGGTTCCCATTCCCATTGTTCTGCCCTGATCCTAAGAACTCCTCTTTTTCTGATCTCCAATATTTTTGATTTGAATTCCATTTTCCCATTTTTCCATGGGCCATTTACAGTAATCCACAACCTGTCCAGAGTGTTCAAAGGAATATATTATAATTATACAACATTTATATGGTGCCAACAGTTTACGCAGCGTTTTTACAACATAAATAAAGACAATACAATTTATTACAGGAGGAATAAGAGGGCCCTGCTCATTAAAGCTTACAATCTAAGAGGGAGAATATAGACAAGTCCAAATCTTTCACTTACTAAGGGTGTTAGGAACCTTCATTTTCCTGTTAAAGTGGAACCTTAAAATGGTAGTAAGGTCATTTTTTTCACTTGAACCTACATGTAAGCCTATAGTAAGGATTACCTGTAGGTACTTTAAATATCTCCTAAACGTGCACCACCACCAGAGTAGAGGATCCTTCACCCAATTCAGCATCAGCATCATTGGGTTCACAGCATGGCAGGATTTTAAGTAATTCTCCAGGTTTTGTCAGAGAGACCCACTGCCTTTCAGGCTCTGTAGTACTGCCATCCTGCTTGGTGCCCTTTGCTACATTCAGATAGAAAACTGTCTGCAGTCTTGTTCCGTGGTCTGAAGCAAAATCTGTAGTATTGTCTAATCTCGCACTATTCTTTTGTATGCCTGAAGGAAACATTGACTGCAAAAAAGAGACTGCATAGGGTACCTCTATGGTTTCCAATTAAAAAACCTGGGGAGGGTGGTATACTCCCCCTATTCCATCTTGGTCACACTTGAGTTGCACCCAAAACTTCTGGTGGTCATTAAAAGTAAACAACTGAAAAACTAAATAGTTGTCCATCCCCAAAGCAAAGTTGACCATACACAGTTTGAACTTCAAGCCGTGGGTGGCCCTGCCAACACTTCAAGCTCAAGAAACTTTGATTAGGAAATCGAAGAAGCTGGACTGTAAAAAGTCGGCTGAACAGTGACTGCAACCAATCAGCCAAAGTCACTGGGTCTTCTGGCTGCTGTGGGTGCAGCTTACAGAATACAATAGCCAACAACAGGAAATTCATCCATCTGATCAGTATCAATGGGGATTATATGAACCTCTCTCATTCAGCCTTGTATGCTTTAAGTGTATGGCCAGTTTTAGCTAGCAAATCAATAGGGTTCGCTCCTCACTATAGTATTTTCATTAAAAAAAAATTTTTTTTGCATACATATTTTTCTTTATGGGTATTTAGTCCAGTCACATGACATCGCAGTAGGCAGATCTTGAATGCTGACGTAAATGGCAGCACCTAATGACGTAGCACCATTCTTTGGTAAACACAGGCTGGCTTTCTGACATACCTCTAGGGGATGGGTTCTTGACACCCTTTACTTACAGAAAATGGGTTGAGTGGCATCATTCAGCGCAGAAGAGGAGCAGAATTGGACCTTGAAGAGGTGACAGTTACAATGAGAAAGAGAGTATTTCAATGAAAGCTGATTTTTTTTTTTTTTTAATAACAGCTGGGCTATTAATAAAACAGAACTTTTTTTAGTTTTTGGATGGAATGGGGAAATGTTGGAGCCCCTGCAGGTTTCACTGCTATCTGGGGCCCCATTACACAGATTTCCCCCCAGCATCTGTGCCAGGGACAACTTTTTTGCCAGGAAGGTACAGGAAGCGAGGGAAAATCTGCACCAGGGAAACAGACAGCAATAAAAGGCTGACAGAGATTCTAGCACTTTCCTACTAAAAAAAAGGCATTTCAACTTTTGTCAGTGTTGCTGTTAGTGAGATTCCCCCTCACTTCCTGTCCTGGGGGAAAACTACCTTTTTACCAGACAGGGAGTGAATGAATTTCTCCAACTGAGCCTCTGAAAACAGTAAAATTTGACAGGAGTTCCAATCCTTCCCCACTCTATCCACAAATAAAAATGTTTTGGGCATATAAAAACTTTAAGTGGTCAATAAAAAAAAATGCTGGATGAATGACACAAGCATTCACTCAGCCATGATGAGTTCCTATGATTGTCTACTCCATCTAGTAGTCATGGTGCTGTATTTTTCCTGTAGTACCTCAGTCAGGAAAATATCACATTATGACCACTAGATGGTGCTGACGATTTGTATTAAGCAACATATGGCCAGAATTCATTATAGCCTAGCCCTAGGTGAATGCTTTGGATAGTGTTTTTCAACCTTTTTTCAGCCAAGGAACCTTTAAAATTATGGACAATCCCAAGGCACCCTTTAAAATTATGGACAGTCTTGAGGCACCCCATTCTAAAAATGATTCTAATAGTTTTATATATAATGCAGCAACATCCACACATGTAGGACACCCAACATTAGAGGTGATTTATTCTTCTGAAGCAAATACACTTTTGCACACTGGTACTGACTTTATTCCAGGGTTTCTCTTCTCCCTCAGTTTTTCTCCTTCACTGTGCTAATGTGAAAACTGATGGAGAGGGTCAGGAGAGGGACAAACTAGGATGCTGTGCAGGCAGCTGACATCCACCTTATCAACTGATGATGTCATTGGTTGTCAGCACATCGGGGGGCTAGAAGGTCATAATGGTGCACAATGAAAACCTGTGGCTTTGTGTAACTAAGTGGCAGGCTTGTTCCACCTGCTGGCTTGTATACAGGTTTTGGGCACATTTTGCCAAGGCACCCCAGAAGAAACCTCAAGGCACCCTGGTTGAGAAAGGCTGGCTTGGGACATTGGTCAGTGAAATCTTTAGAGATAGACCCCACAAAAAATAGTCATGCATCATAACGCCCGGCAGGTCCGAACTTAATTTCTTTTCACGTTTTTGCATATTATAAAGACAGCAGTAGCTCATTTAAGCTCTCTATAACCTGCCATATTGCATTGGGTAATATAAGAATCCCTCCAGTGCACATGGAAAGGTCAACTAAGGCAGCCAGTCAATGTCCCAGACTGAATCAGAATGGTACCAGGGATAAAAGTATCATCACTTGGTCTTAAAGTGGTTGTAAACCCTTACATAAACCCAGTGAAGCGACTGTCCTCATGTGATACACAGAGATGAAACAAATCCCCTATATACATTTTACCTGTTTATCTTCAGGCATCAAGTGTTGAATTTATAATGCTTGTATGAAAGTTCAGAAAAAAGGGGGCAGAGAGCTGAAATTACACTCTACAGAGCTCAGTGAAGAGAGATCTGAGAGTTGATTGGAGGGAAGAGACCCCCTCTCCGCACAGCTCACAGGAAGAGTTGAGGGCTGTCACTCTGCTGCAGGTCCCTCCCTGTCACCATTTTTCTCTTGGTGTCAGGAAAACCTTTCAGAAGTGACTCATGCAGAAAGCAGAGGAAGGAAGCAGCAGACAGAAACAACACTTGGTGCTCTTAATTGAGACAAGGACACACATTAGAGAGATATGCTTAGTACATAATTCATGTCTGAGGTTTACAACCACTTTAAGCCAAAAAGCTGAGAAGCTCCCGTTTACCTACACAGTGTAATCTTCTTACTTGGTACTAAGAGCTTGTAGTGACTTATAATGTGTAGCTACAGAAATGTTCCTGAATGATCCCTTCCATTGATCCCCCCTGGCATAAAGCAGATGTCTTGTCTATTATGTGCTCTTTGCAAGGCAGAGCACATTTACAGTGTCAGCTTATCTGCTTGCTGTCATTGGAAAGGTAAGGTGCAGACAGGCACAGTAACCCTCAGATCTCAGTTCCCAGACAATTCAGTGAAATCCCAACCTTCCTCAGGAGCCCGCTGCATAATAGATGAGCTCTTTTTATACCTTTTAATTATCTCCTTTCACAAAGAAGCTTCCTTCTCCCTCCTGTCCCCTTCCTACCAGAGCCAGGATGACTTTTACAGTAGGGGCTTTTGTTGTTTTTGGAGGGAATTAGCCTGACCATTGCTACGTCTAATGAATGACATCTCCATTCAGATGCTGTGTGATGGGGCTATGATATTCAGGACAGGACACAACTGTGTATGAAGGGTCACGAAATGCCATGACTTGAATAATGACTAATGGTCATATTGGATCCAGCCTGTTATTAAAATGGGCCATCACAAATGAATTTAGGTTATTTTTTTCTATATGCATACATCATACATATGATTGACACACACACACACATATATATATATATATATATATATATATATATATATATATATTTTTTTTCCCTTTTAGCCCAGTAACGTTTTGACTCCTTAGGATTAGAACAAAGTATCTGTAATGTCATAATTAAATCAAGCTGCATGATACTTGTAATTTGCATATGTATATATGTTGGGTATATGGCACATGCCGCATATAATTAACTTCAAAGAGACAACTAACATGATCCCATTTATCCATATCAAAAGATAATGATCATTAGTCCCCCTCCTTCCCCAAGAAACCACCAGATCATAAAATGTAAAGAGTTTATTGAGAAAACTCCTCCAGTTTAGGAAGTTTTTGACACAAAAACAACACAGTAACTTTGGCATTACACAATCTTTGTACCAGTTGTACAAAACTAAAAAAAAAAACATCTCAGCAAAAGAGTTTTATTACAAAAAAATGGGTCATTTATACAAGTTTGTTTTTTTTAGAATAAAAAAGTAAAGTCCCCATATATAGAAATAAATAGATTTGTTCAGAGTTATTCTGTAAGGCAAGGTCCCATAAAACGGAACCAATAAATAAAAAAATAAAGTCTGATTACAAAGTGTGGTCAGTTCACCAAGGTCTCCATACGGACTCGGTGCTGTCAGGTCCATTGCTGCCACCTAGAGGGCTCACCGTTCGGGGCATGTGTGGCATCTTGTGAGAGAAGGTGGTGAGTCCTTGGACTGGGGATTGTGCCTGTGGTGCCCCGCTGGAGGTGACATTTCCATTGCCATAGAGGGGAATCACTGGTCCTGGGCTGGAGGAATAGGCAGGGTTGGGGATGAGGAAAGCGAATTGTCCATCAGTGGCTGGTACCAGCTGGAAGCCTCCCTGGAAAACCTTGGGAGACACGGCTTCGGCTGAGGTCATCTTGCAAGACATGGGCACTGGAGCATTGGATACTGGTGTCGAGGGCAGCTGGACATGCAGAGGCTGGTTGGAAGGAGGCTGCTGGTAATTCATTGCCACGATCTGGCCTAGGCAACCAGAGAGATGACCAAGTAGCCGGGTTCTGACTTCTGTGTTGACCCCTTCACAGGTGGAGAGGAATCGGGTCACCTCGTTCATGCACTCATTGAATCCTGCTCTGTATTTGCCAAGCACTGATGGATCAGCTGTTAGTGCAGCTACAGGAGAAGTAAAGAACATTACATGAGTACGAGCGATCAAGGAACCTGATTATGAACTATCTCACTAAATTACTAGTGTTAACCATTTAGCAGCTATAGCTTGCTTCATTCAAAAGCTACTGGATCAATACAATGCTCCCTCATCCAGAGCAGGCAAACCATGATGCTATTAAGCTCTGTACATCCATACATAGAAATATAAACCTGCAATAAAATATTCAGTGTTGTGGACTTCTGCCACGGAAAACTACAAATCCCAGCATGCCTGCCCTGAATGAGACAATACCTAGAGGAGATCATCCACAGACACCCTACCAGCCCCTACATCATTCATCAATAGCAATCATTGTGGAAGTATAAAGAGCCTCAGATATGTACCTGTCATCTGGACTCGTTGTAAGTTCCGCAGGTGCTTGACTGTCATTTCCAGGATATCAGCCTTCTCCAGCTTGGAGTGTCTGGAACTCTGCAAAGAAGGAACGAGGCGATCAGCAACAAGGTGGGAGAAATGTGGGCAGGAGAGAGGGATGGAGGGACAGGATGGATGGAGGGACAGGATGGATGGAGGGACAGGAGGGATGGAGGGACAGGATGGATGGAGGGACAGGATGGATGGAGGGATGAAGGGACTAGAGGGATGAAGGGACTAGAGGGATGGAAGGGACTGGAAGGATGAAGGGACTGGAAGGACTTGAGGGATGGAAAGACTTGAGGGATGGAAGGACGGAAGGACTGGAGGGATGAAAGGACTGGAAGGATGGAGGGACGGAAGGATGGGGGCACTGGAGGCAGCAAATAGATGTTCAGCCAACTTACATCTTTCTTTAGGGCATCCAGAATGAGTGTCTTGAGCTGTCCCAGGCTCTCGTTGATGCGAGCTCTCCTGCGCTTCTCCATGATAGGTTTGGAGGACTGTAAAGACAGAGGCAAGACATGAGTACAACGCCACAGTATATGTTGCCAACATATCCCCAGATTGTGATCTACAGCACCCACCCATGGGGCACACAAGGGATAGTTACCTTTCTGTGCTCACTGGCACTCTTGGGTTTATCGGGGGTCTGAGCAGAGTTGGCCGGTGCCCCCGCAATAGGGGAGGCGGTGGGCTTCTCCATGCTGTCAGCAGGCATGATCCGATGAGGGGAATACACAGGATGGATGGAGGGGGGGGGGGTTATCCGGGAAGTAGCACAGCAGTTGTACAAAGTTACTGGAGGTAACCTGACCAGTCCCAGAGCCTGAGTGTTGTGTGTCTGTCCCAGTCTGAGGACTCTCCTCTATTTATACTCCTCTCTTCTGCTTCCCATTCGTGTGAAACCTTCTCTACATTCTTTCCCACACTTGCCTCGCCCACAGCTCTTTCTGATTGGACAACACTCACCCTCCTCCTGGCCCCCCTTCTCCCAAGACTTTCCACCCCCCCCCCCCCCCCTCCTATAGACAGGCGCCCATTGCACTGCTCAGTGTTAGGGTTGGCTCGGGTTGATGTTTTTGCATTGGGGAGAAATTCAAGCTGAGAACTAACTGGATCCAGGCATTGATGTGTTATTTACTGTAAATAGGCAACGGTTTCTCAAGCTGCACTACAATGAAAATTTAAAAAAATACATCAACACTATGAAGTAAATATTTCCACTTAAAAATATTCCCAGCGCTGTAAATCAGTGGTAATTGGAGACGTTTGTGTTGATGGATCTTTTTACAAAAACAAAAATGAGGTTTTATTGCTTTGCTTTGCTAAAGTAAACAACACAAGTCACTGGTTGGCCTACTATACCCATGTTAGTAAAACTTGGCTGATGTATGGGAATTATTTATTAAAAAAAAAACAAAATAAAATGTAACAAACAATAACTGTCATAAAATATCAAAATGACAAATAAGGACAGTTATCTACATTCTCCGATCAAAATCTCAACAGTCCACGGCTTTGTTCACACGTGCGGCACTTTCTACTGTCCCTCTGTAAAGCGGCCCATAGTGGACCACATTTCAGATGGCAGGACAGACGTTACTGCCAACAATGCCTCCTCCTAAATGTCCCCCTTTTTTCAGGTGAACAAGTGTTATCTATTGAAATACCATGACGCTAACAGTTCACGGTTGCAGTGCGGACCCCCTTCACTTAAATGGGTTGCATTTGGCGCGGGTATAGCTTGCCTAATGCAATATAACATCATGTGTACAACATATGTACTACCCCCCCCCCCCCCCCCAGCCGCCATTGTGCAGTTCAGGTGGGTGGTTGAATAAACTGTTTTTACTGCCCTCTAACCATCCGAATGAAGACAAAGAAAGCAAAAAATATATATATATATATGTATATATATATATATAAAAACTGCATTTAAGGCCGGGTTCACACCAGTGCACTGCGTTTTGGTCACAGGAAGATTGTATGTGCATTTTACACGCGTTTTTAGACACGTTCCCATTGATTCCAGTTAGAATATGCGTTTTCATGGAAGCACACTAAGGTCCTGCATGCTGCATCTATGATGAGCTTTCAGAAAGTGCATGTTCTATTAGAAGTCAATGGGAAAGTGCCTGAAAACACATGTAAAACACGCACACAAACATGCTGCACCCAAAACGCAGCACACCGGTGTGAAGCCAGCCTTAGGATGACTTCTGTTTACATCCGTTTGCCCATAGAAATACATTGCTGTCGATTTTTCATCCATTAAAAGACAGATGAAAAATGGACAGACGGAAGGCCCATGTGAAAGGGGCCTCGAGATAAACGCCATTCCGTAACTTTGCGTTTAATGTTGTAGTTTATAGCAACTAATCAGATTATTTCTTTTATCCAGTCTTTGCAGGTTGAGGGTTGCTACAGGGAACAGCTCCGGTTTTTCATTAATTGGTTCCACTTTTTATATTAATTTCCTCCCAGCTACTTAAAAAAATTTTACTGGATGCACTTATTTCACCGATCATGTGATCTGCATCTTGTGACAGTCAAACATGGTCTATAAATGGTTGCAGGAGCTGTGCCCAGACACAGCTGTCCATCATCATTCAGCATCACAGACTTCTGGCGAGTTAAACCCGCTCTTCTGCCTGGCAATGAATTGGATAGACAGCTTGATATGCGAACAACCAACTTTCCGCCATATTAAAAAAAAAAACTCAGCAGCCTGCACCTGGGAGAACCTGCTGTGAGTGAATATACTCGCCAAGTAGACGCAGATTTCTTCAATCCGACCTTTACATCTCAGTAGCACACTGACATCTTATGAGCCATTCCTGACATTTGCATATTCCTAATTGCCCCAGGACCTATTATTCTGCAGGAGATAGGTGTAATGATGGGGAAGGTGGGCCATGTGTGTGGGGGGGGGGGTACAAAACAAAAGGGGCCTGCGTCTCCATAATGAGCCTGCTGCCTACAGAACGATGCTACTCCTCTCTTCCCATAGTACATGACAGATGATTGGCTACTGCAAGGCAGTGCCATCCTTTTTAATATTCAGACATCCCTAAGGCTAGGTTCACACCTATGCAGGTTGCGTTGGACCCGTTTCTGCATTTCGTTTTGCACCTGTTTTTTTTTTTTTCATTTTTCAAATTTTTTTCTTGTTGCTAGGCAGATTTAAAAAAATGCATCAAAAACGCAATACATGCTTTTCTGCTACATTTACATTGAAGTCTATAGAACCAAAAATGCAACTTTTTGCGTTCAAAAAAGTCCCTGACCCATTCCAAAAAACGCACCGGGTGAAAACACGGAGATGTGAACACGTCCCATAGGAAATCATGTTAAATGGACTGTAGTACGTTTCTGCAAAATGCTGCAGAAAACACGTATGACCCGGGGCGGACTGACCATTTGGAAACTGGGGCACGGCCCGAGGGCCCGGGGTCAGTAGGGGGCCCCATGAGATGCCCCTAGTACCTTTTTCATAGGCTTTTTTGAGTTTGGGCAAAGACACAGGGGCCCCATGATCCCCTATTGCCCGGGGGCCCCATGAGTTGTCAGTCCGCCCCTGGGTGTGACCCTAGGGTAAGTCAGTTTTAAAGCGGAGTTCCACTCACAAGCAGAAGCTCCGCTTATTTGCCTCCTTCCCCCCTCTACTGCCATATTTGGCACCTTTTGGGGGGAGCGGGTACCTAGTTTTGACAGGTACCCGCTCCCACTTCCGGCTCAGTTCGCTGCAGTGAAGTGACCGAGAAGTTCTGCCCCCCTCAGTCTCCTGGGAACTTTTAAAGGTCCCAGAAGACTGCCGGAGCAATCAGGAGGCACAGTAGGTACCAGGCTGTGAAGCTGCAAGCTGTCACAGCCTGGTGCCCACAGTAGAGATGCTGGTGCCATGGAGGAGAGAAGGGACGGCGGGGGTGAGAGCATCGCTGGACTCCGGGACAGGTGAGTGTGCTTTTATTAAGTCATTAACTAGTTTTTGTAGCTGCTGACTTTTAATAAACACAAAAACGTCTTGAACTCCGCTTTAACCTTTTTCTATATATCACCAATACAGGTGACATGGCACTACAAGTCCCAGCACAGATCAGACGTAGGCTTAGCTTACATGTGTGCCAAGATTGCCTCACCTCTGAACAGCACCTTGCTTTTGGATCGCCTTCAAGAGGCGTTTGACAGCCGTATCAACTCATCGCCTATGTTACCCTGTAAATGTTGAACCATTTTGCTGCAAATGCATGCATTGCAGTGCTATGTGGCCCCATGGGTGGCATAGAGGGTGCAGCATGTAAACACCACTGGTTGATAAGGGGGGTGGGTGGTAAAAACATAGCAAAACCACATTTTTAACCGCCCCCAGCTGCATGTCTAAACAAGTCTCCCTCAGACGGGTGTCCAGTGACTATCTGCGATTCTTGACAGCGGTGACCGGGCCGGATTCATGGCCTGTACAAATCAGTGGCTGGCTCTGAGCGGTCTTGGACACACTTGGCATCCAGAGACCACGGTTCGCACTGATTGCACACAAACTAGGCGCAGCCAATCGTCCAGCCTGTATGGGCCATAGCACAGCGTGCTGCTGCGTCCACGTGGCGTTTCGCCGTACCCTAGCGCTGCAGTCCAGCGGCCTGTCTGAATGAGCCCTAAATCACTTCCCAGCTGTGCAAATGTCAGGGCACTACAAGTCCCAGCATTGATCACACCCATCTGACACAAGGAGCTCGGATACAACTACAACAAAACTATTCCCAATTGTATAGAAAATAATGGAAGACAACAGATCCCAGCTAGTCCGCCATGTCTAGTGGAATGACAAGTCCCAGCATGGCCGGAGCCCATCGTGTGGATGATATATCGGGGGGGATGGGCTCCTCCCGAGCTGACAACGTCCTGGATGTGATTAGAGCGGAGCGCAGGGAGCGATCGGGGAACTGACACACAGGCAGCCGACAGGCACGCGAAGAGGCGCCGGCTGGCACGCAAGCAGCCAATAGCCTGCCGCCTGGCTCCGTGCCGCTCGCTCATTGGCTGCGGCGCAGGCGGCCTGTCAATCAAAGGCAGCCGGGGGTAACGTGCTACAGCTGTGAGCGTGCCTGGGCAGCTGGGCGGCCTGTGCGCGCTCCCCTCCTCCCCCCTCCCCCTGCTCCTGTCTGTACTCTGGATCACCCGGGAGCACGTGCCAAAGTGCTGCTGGCTTTGTGCGGAGAGTACAGGCGGCCGGCTCCCAGCCCAGAGCCTGGGAAAACTCCTCCCCCTCCTCCGCTGGCTGCACAGAACACCCTCTGGCCGGGATCGCATACCTTACAAAGCTGTGTCCTGGGGGGGGGCGACAGAAATAGGGGGGCCAGGACTACATTGACCTGGAGCTGGCCCCCAGGGGCCCCATAGGGTTCATATTTAGGAGCTGAACATAAATGTGTGATATGTCAGCGAGTTATCATTCCAACGCACAAAAATTCCCCTAAAATTCCGCACGTGGTGTCACCTGCCGCAGTGCTGTATGGTGCGTTGCAGCGCTAATCAATGACAGTTGTAGCGTAACGCATGGAGTACGCATCGCATGGAGCACGCATCGCAGCAAGAGCCTGGTCATACTAGTGGTGCTATACCAGCAATCCGTGGTTGATTGCTTCTCAAAGGGATTTGACAGCAGTGAGGAGGTGATAGGTCGCCCCCCCCCCCTCACCGCTTGATTTAACCCCAGAAATG